GCGACCGACAGAGACGGAATTTCCGATCTTTTATTTACGGGGGCAAAGGGTTTGCCTGCCTAAGATAGTGAAAAGTTCCCCTAAATCACATGGAACCCGTCCCACCACCCACACTTTTACTTCTCCAATTTCTCTTTTAATCCTTTTGCAGAAGAATATATATATATATATATTATATTTTATATATATATATATATATATATATATATACGTAAAATAAGAACTTTCTTGTATGTTTTTATGTGAAGTTTGTGTGTTTAGGTGATTTAGTGTGTTTATTATGTGTTTTGGTGTTAAGTTTAATAAGAATAAGTTGTTGGCCACATTCATGTGAAAATCGGTATTTGCGCGCTTAAGAATATAACTGTGAGAACTCGAACGTAATAAGTTAAATGTGCTTTCATTTTGAAGCTTTGTTTTCTCTGAATTTACTTGAAGTTCTTCAAATTTAATAAGTTTGCCACAACAAACCACGTTTTTAGAAATTTCTTAGAATCTTCTGGTCGGATTGGAAAAAAATTCAGTACCAGTAGACCGAGACGCATCGACTTCATACGTTTCGATTGGAGCACGGGAAGTGGTCCAACCGTGAGTGACGGATCCGCACAGACACCGCCTCTGGCTATCGAGTTGAATACCTCTTGAGTTTTGTATGAAGCAACGCAAATAAATTGAGACATCTTTGGTTACGTACTAAGCAAAAACATCTGAAAAAAATTCACGTAAGAGTTAGAAAATTGATGTGAACGCAGCTAGCCTCCACGAAACTCCGAAACCCCGAAAAGCTACAAGACCGTGATATATGTAAATGGTGTATTCCCACACATGTAAATCCTGCCCTGGCTGGGGGTGGTGAATGATGGCTCAGTGGTGGAAAAATATTTCTGCGAAAGACGGCGATTTAAAACTTCTACCGAAATAAAATGTATGCCTGGTTGAACAGAACTGGTTGATTGATTATAATCAGTTGTTCAATTTAATATTATTTCACTATGAGATATATTTTAATGCGCGACATTTTATTTTTCAGCTCCTCCTCCTACTTACGAAGAAGCTATTGGTGAAATGATTAATGATATGACAATTGAAGACTAAAACTGAAACAAACATCGGCAAAGTGCCAGATGATACAATCAGGGGAAATAAATAACAGGAGAATAATAGTTTATCATGCACTAGAGTATCACTTTACGAAGTCAACTGAGACGAAGTCACAGGGACATAAAAAGATAAAATACCATATCCATTTTTCACATGTCAAACAGAAACGTTTTATGTTTCACGAATAATAATTATCAGATTCTTTGTGTAACATGTGATTTTTTAAATAAATGAAAATTTTTTGAAGATGTATTAATAAACATTTATATTTTAAGCAAATGTTTTAGTCAGAAAATCAAGATTGTTTTCTCTCTATTAATCTAATTTTTACTTTATAATAAATTATGCAGTATAAAGATAGTTATGTGGTGCTGCGGAAATCAATTTCGAGATTTCAACGAAAATACATGAATATGATCCCCTGATACCGATTTTATTTTTTCAAAGCGGCCTTCCGTCACTCCATATAAGCACAACACTAGCATCTAAACTATTTGTAGAAATTCTTCCCGATCGATCGGGCCCGATTCAAAGTCCGGTGGTTTTGAAAAGAGTTCTTAAAATGTTCAGTATACTTTACATAAAGTTCCAGTGACGTTTTCTGTTTTTTCTCAAAAATGGTTGCAAATGTTTTCTTTATATTTTATGTCATATACGTCTTTTAAATAATATTAATGGTGTACGCCCAACCTTAAATGGAAATTGGGCAATATTAAAAAATATTAAAACTAAGAATTTCTCATAAACAATGTTTTATTTAAACTTTTCATACGTTTAGCTTTAATGTACTGAATAACTTGGCATAATCGTTTCTCTTATGTAGCCTTCAAAAGTTACACGAGTTTGATTTTGTTGAAATGTCTTAGGTAGTTAATTATAGGTATCCATTAATACATTAATGCATTTGTGAGTACATTTTCTTTAAATGAGTTCTAATGCCGTTTTTCGTAAACTCAATACTTTTATGGGAAAATGAAAGCAAAATTGTGTTTTTTCAGAAACGTTGAGAACGATTCTTTTCTCTAAACTGGCTTCAAATTTCGCAAACAAAATTTGCATATAGAAGCTATTACGTTTCTAGAATATTCTTCAAATCGAATTTCCATCCCACTATTATGGGGCTGAAAGTGAAGAAAATGTAAAAACCGTTCCGTTTTCTTTTGAAAAAAAAACAACACAATTTCGTCAATATAATTATTCCTATTAATAAAAGTCTAATCTAAATAACAATAAAATTATTACATGAAATTAAATTTAACCCTTATTTTAATGAATAAGTTCTGTAAATATTACATTCTACCACATTTTATGTCGCTTAATTTAATTAAATTGTTGGTTACTGGTGCTTTTTTTCTAGATTTTAATAGTATAGTAAGTTTCTTTGCACTTTTGGCATGAATGTAAAATGTGTCGAAAAACGTTGACCTCTCAGTTTGTGTTTTACGTACGGGAATAAAAAGAAGTCATTCGGTGCCAAGTCAGGACTATACGGCGGATGACCCATCAAATCGATTTTTTGGGTGCTCAAAAATGCAGTTGTTGGAGCCGATGTGTGAGAGCTCGCATTGTCGTGGTGAAGAGTGATCCGTCTTCGGCGGTTGGTTTTCCTGATTTCTTGGAAGACAGCTGGCAAACAAATCGTTGAGTACCACTCAGAATTGACTGTTCTGTTTTGTTCTAGTGGTACGGTAGCGACATGACCAGTTTTTTCCGAAAAAACAGGTAACCATCTACTTGGAAGTGCTTCGTGCGCGAACAACTTTTGTTGGATTTTGCTCATCTTGAAACACCTATACAGTCGACTGCTGTTTACTTTCGGGCTCATACGCGTAAATCCACAATTCATCACCTGTCACGATGTCTTAGACGTGTTTCGAAGCACTGCGATCGTATTTTTTTAGCATTTCTTACAACCAATTGTCACGAGCCTTTTTTCTTGATCGGTTGACAAATTGTGTGGGATCCAACGCGAAAAAAATTGTTTTGACAGTCAAATATTGAATGTATGCTGGACCCACTAATGCCTAAGGTTGTCTCAATTCACGATAGGTCACATGACGATCTTGCAATATCAGTTCGCGCACAGCATCAATGGTTTTCGGCACAGCAAATGATTTTGGACGACCTTCGCGAAATTCGTATTGGAGTGAACTACGACCACGATTGAATTCACCATACCATCGATAAACACTGGTCCTTGATGGAGCTTCATCAACAAAAATTGAATGAAGTTCATCCATGCACTGTTGCCGAGTTAATCCACGTCGAAAGTTGTAAAAAATAATCGCACGAAAATGATCACGATTTAATTCCATTTTTAGGCCAAGATGAATCTTTTAAGTTACTGTAAACCACACAAATAGCGCTCGTATGTCAAAACGTTCTGAGTACGTATAACCTCAAAACATCCAACTTTACGATAGAACTGTCAGTTGCCAGATTGCAACACCAGGGTTGCCAAATCCCGAAACATGAAAGGCAACCTTCGTACTAGCACCGAAGTAGAGCCAAGGGATACCAAGAAGAAATATGTACAGGCACAGGACCGATGTACGTCTATGCGATGTTCAGGGTGCACAAAGGTACCTTCTCTTCACCACACCTACAGTAGCGGCAGGTACCTTCGTGTTCTCCGAGCATCGCATAAACCTACCTCGGTCCAGTGCTTATAAATATTTCTTGGTGGGCCTGGTGGCCTTTTAAACATGGAAGAGGTTAGGGAACCAACTACTACGAGAAAGTCTGTGCCATTCTGTAGCACAATTAGCTACTTCCTTGAATCTGCATACCAAATATAGAGAAAGTTGTGTAATACTGCAGCGAAAGAAACGAGTTTTCGTCAGAAAAATATGTAGTGTAGGTCTCTGACATCGAAAAATTGATAATTCGTGCCCTAGAATTTAGTAAATTCTTCCTGTAGCATATTGTTCAGTTAAGCTCCACAGCTTCCCTTGATTCCGGGAAATTTAGTCCGTCCGTTCCTCTGCTCGTCCGTTTGTCCGTTCTTCCGTGAATAACGCTAACGGCTAAATCGTAAGCTGGATTTTCACCAAAATTGTTATTTCCAACCTGGCTGACGTCGCGCCTTTTAGAATTTGAAACGGATATTTTGATTGAGGCTTTACATTAATCTCCAACGTCATTACAAAATTTACTCAAATACGACTATTAATTGTGTCCTTAAATATTTTGCTTGAATAGAGTGGAATACACTTATAAAGAGGGAATGAGGCCCATGCACACGAGCATCACTATACATTACGCAACGCTTCAGGTGAGTGCTTTAAATCGATCGAGTAATATCCGTGTTATAAAAATCTTGTGGGCATTTTAGGCGTTAATGTTAACCATGGACGGAGGGCCGGACTTTTTGAAAGAAAGAAAAAAACACTATTCAGGGACCTCCAAATTGTATATAGCTGTCAATCTCGCGGCATCTATTTTTGCAGAATTACAATAGAACTTAATCTTGATTACATGTACGAGAAAGTAAAAATTGGACAACCGAAGAGATATCAGAGATTGCCGTCAGATACTACGATACTTTTTAATTTCAAGGCAGTAGCGATTTCTCAGGGGAGGGAAGAGAGGATAGTTTTCTCCAAACATTTTTTTAGTTTGAATGTAATAACCAAATGCAATATTTTCTTTGATGTTAGAGGGAAAATGCATATTTTTACTTCATAGTCACGGAAATGGTCTTTGATAGTTTTTAAACCGCGAGCGCATTTTAGGCGTCGCGAAAACTGGAAGTCACTTAGAGGAGGAATTCTCAGCGTTTCGTCCTCTCGTGTAATAATGGTCTATACACTAACACTGATGCGACAAGAGGAAATGTTTTTAATACAGCTACGCCCACACGCACATGAATCATGTGCGAGTACGTAGAAGAGGCGCGGTGTATCATCTCACACGCGTGGATGCACCGAGGGCTGGCGGAAACCCGGGTGATTAAGCAAATCGAACCGATACGTCTCTCTCTCCCTTTTGGTTTACATCTGCATGTTATCTAATTTGTTGAATATTTCATTTAATGTAATAGTATTTGCTTGACTTATTTCCTCCTCAAATCGCCACTGTTTCGAAGATAGTGAAGGGTTAGAGGGTGAATGGATTTTTTTGAATTCATTGAAGAGGGTTAATTGAATTTTTTAAATTCATTTTCAAAATCGGTGATGAATAAGGCTGGTTAAATTGAATTCTTCTGAATTCGAGAATGAATACGTCGTGTATTCCTTTTCATTCTCAAGGGCAACAAGCCAGAGCTGTGAGTAGGCGTAAAACCTGTTTGCCTTGTTACCATTTGCTTTTTTTAACTCTTCCCCCTCTCCGAATGTCCAAACGTGCTTAGCCTCGATTATGTTCTTCCTCTTTCTTAACATTCCATATAATCTATGAAACGTAACGTCGTAGCACACACTACACACCACGACCACATCCTTCCGCCCCACTACATCGCAGTCCACCCGGAGCGCTGCTACGATAAAGGAGATATGCGCAGAGCGTGGCCGTGAGTGGTATCAGTGGAACCTAGTGAAGGGATAAGTAACAAAACTTTGAACTGTGGAAAGGTGTACAACATTGTGATGAGTGTTGCCCATTTTGGAATATGCTTCGACAATCTTCATGCTACATATTTCGCCGGTCAACATGTCACAGGAAAAGTTGTTATTGAGTTACTGAAAGAGAAAAAGATACGAGGTAAGATACTTGAATATTCTTGTGAGAATAAATGTATCAGTATCACGTACTGTGATTGTAGTGCAGTTAAGCGTTATCAAAGTTAAAGGTGGTGACAATTGAAGATTTTTTATTTTTGAAATTTTTATTAAAGCTTTTCAACTTCTTTAAAAAAGTTATTTGCTTTTCTTAATTGGTACATTTATACATTGTATACATACACTTATTTTGTATTTCTCAATACATTAGTTATTTTCATTAAAACAGTAGGTATTAATAACTCAGCATTATTCAATTTCTTGCATTAATCTTATGCTTTTATTACTTATATGATGCCAGAAATGTATATACGTATTTCCTACCTGTACTATTGGGTTGGCTAAGGAACTTTTTGACAACTAATGGTAAAAATATCTTAATTTTCTTCAGCCTTTTAATTAAATATTCCCTTTCCTCTTTGTATTCTGTACATTGCCATATTACATGATTTAGATCCTGAGTATAGTATCCACACGAGCATGTTGGATCAGATGTTAATTTAAATCTAAATAATGAAGAGTTTAAACTACAATGACCAGCTCTACCTCGTTTCACCATTGAAGCAAAATCTCTCTCAATAGATTTCCCATGAAACCAAGGTCTCTCTGCCTCTTTATAAAACAATGTAAAATATTCCTTGCCTTTGGTGTTAGCTGCTCGCTTAATACTTATGATCGTTTCCTTTCTAGCACTGCTCTTAAAAATATAATGCAAGTCAGAATGAGGTATTTTTAGTTTTGAATGTATATTATTTGTAGCATTTTTTGCAAACATGTGAGCCATTTCATTCCCAATAATACCTTTATGTGCACATATCCATATAATATTAACCTTAAAGTTATTATCTGCATGAAATTCTTTTAGCTTCTTTTATATATCTAGCAAATGATAATTAGACCTTATATTGACTGTCTTTATTTCCAAAGTTAATAGCACACCAAGAAGGTTAGTAAAAATATCAACATTCTGTCTTTGTGTTCCAAAGCTGCATCTCTAATAGCTATACATTCTGCTGTAAAAATTGATGCATATGGATGCACACTGTATATTACTTCCTGGACAGACACATGCAGTTCCAACTGCTTTGGCATCTTTAACTTTGCTTCCATCAGTGAAAATGGACATAGCATGTGAATTGAGTTTTGAATTTTGAAATTGTAATTGTACACGATTGTAATCGTATATGTGACTCAATAAATATTATTATTATAAAAAAAAAAACAGAAATAATTCATTAGGATTCTTTGCTTCTACTAACATTTTTCCATATTCTTTGTCTATGTTTACCGTATACAATATTGTCTCGTAATTAAACTTATATGTTGGAAAATTTTTATCAGCAAACACTATTTTATCTAGATACATTATATTTCAAATGCACTGTTGTAAAAAATGAACTTTTTTCCTTTTATCATTTGTCGTATTCATATAATAATTTTTAATCCCTTCCTATGTTGCAGACTTTTTGTGTGTTATACTTTTAATTAAGAATTTATTACGTAAATATGTTACATGATCCTCAATTCTCATTAATTTAGATTCTGCTAACCGTATATTAGTGGGAGTACTATTCCTATAACCTAAAGCTAATCTAATTGCTGTGTACTGTAACCTTTCTAATTTAGACTTTAATTTTTTTCTTTAGGATAATAAACAAAGCAGTCATAATCTATTATACTTCTAACAAAGCTCTTACAAAAATTTAGTAAAGTACCAGGCTCAGCACCCCATCATGTACCTCTGAGAAATTTAATATTTATTTATTTATTTACAACATTTTTCTTGTATAGATCTTGTATGGAATACTTAGTCAAATACTAGACCTAGGAATCGTACAGATTCAGCAAATTTTATTCTGGTGTTTCCATTACAGATATCTATTTCTTCTCGTGGTATGTTTCTTTGATTAAAATGAATAAGAACAGTTTTTAAGGTGCAATCTCAAGCCCTAATTTTAACGTCTTTTTTTTTTAATAGTTACAATAGCATTCTCCAGTATTTCGTTATCAATACCTGGTCTTTTAGGTTTCATATATATAGCAATATCAGCAGCAAATTCAGATAATTGAATACATGCTGGAAGGTTGTCCATTATTTTAGATGCATACAATATAAATAATGTAGGACTTGACATCCCTCCTTGAGCCACACCTTTCTAAGCATTACACACTTCATCCCCCAACATGTTTGTGTATAAGAATCTCTTACTAGTGAAGAATTTATTAAACATGATCATGTGCTCAGTACATCCTATTCCAGCTAACCTTTCCATAAGAAAATCACTATTAACATTGTCAAAGGCTTCACTAATATCTAGCAATTACATCTTCTTTGTGAATGAATGCATATTCAATGTATAAGTTCAGAGCTGTTATATTATCAGCATATGACATACCTTTTCTGAAACCAGTTTCTTTGTTATTATATTGTTTTTTTCTAACCACCATTTTAGCCTTTCAATTACCATTTTATCAAATAATTTACAAATACATGAGGTAAGAGCCAAAGGTCTTAGCCTGTTACCACTATTTGGCTTGTCAACAAAATGAACACAAATTTCCTTTCAGCTCTTCGGGTATTTGTTTTCTGCGTACATACTATTAAATATGTTCAATAGCATAAAGTGATATATAACAGGTAAATTAGTTAATACCTCATAATTAATACCATCCCTTCCGAGAACAGAGTTTTTGTTCCTTATTTTCATGGCTCTGCTATATTCTACAAAGTTGAAAAGTTTATCAAAAAAGGGATTATTTTGACATGCAGTCATAATATGGGATTTGTGGTAACCCAAGGTGGGCATATTTTTGATAATGCAATAATCACTTTTTTCTTGCAGTAGATTTTCCTGTACACTGTATGACCTAATTTTTACCCATTTGTTTTTGAGTATTTTAGCCTTCTTCCATGTATATGTTAAGCTAGTATTGATATTAATTGTTTTTGCAAAGTTTCTAAAACTTTCAATTTTTTTATGTTTAAATAATTTCTTTCTTTTTTATTTTTTTACATACAACCTTCCTTTTATATCCAATCAGATCTTTCATTTCTTTGGTAAATTTCCATTTTCTGTAAGCAATCTTTCTTAACCTTTTCATTTTATCACATTCTTCATCCCACAAGGGCACAGGATTATGATTATTTTTAGCTGTTCTTTTTTTAACCAAAGGAGTATAACCTAGAATAGCTTTAGTTACAATGGCTACAAAAGTATTATATTATATTATTAAAAGTATCAGTACCAGAGGAATTAACATATTCTGACATTTCAAATTGGGAGTGTTTTTCTTGAAGTTGTTTTCTCACTTTATCCCAGTCTGTTTTTTTTATGTGGAGTTTAAATGTTTTTTTGTGATAATACATTTTTTCCACATTAACATTTTTATATAATGTGAAATGATCTGATCCCTAGGTTTCATTTTAAACTTTAGCTTGAATTGAATGTGCAATGCCAGTTGTAGAGAATACTAAATCAATATTAGATTTAGCTCCTGTAGTGAAGTCCACATAGGTTTGTGAGCTAGCATTGTGCATAAGCAGATTGTGTTAACGCTATTATTCAACATGTTTCCATCTGTTTTATTAAGACGATAGTTCCATGACTGATTGTGTGCATTAAAGTCCCCCATCATTATACTTTTACTGTTTGGAAAAGCACTTCCCATTATTTATGGAGTCCCAATCTTCTTGATTTAAATTAAATTTTGGAGGCTTATAACAAGCAATGATATTCAGTTTCTCTTTCATATTAGTAAATTTAATTCCACATATTTCACACAAAATGTATGGATATTTTAGATTTTTTTTTTTTCTTCTTCCCACAAATGCTGTATTCTTCCTTACAATAAATATTATTCCTCCACCTCTTTGTAGAACCCTATCTTTTCTTACTATTACAAATCCGGGGAAATCAATATTACTTTCACTTCTATTTCCTGAAAGCCAAGTTTCAACACAAATAACATTATCCATATTAACTAAGATCTTCTGCAGTTCCTCTGTTCTCCTGAGGATACTTTTGGTATTCCAGAATAATATTCTCAAGTCCCTGCTTGTTAGATTATGTTGACTTGGCCTTCTACCCACAGCTAGTTTTTATTTTCCACCTCCTCTGCTGATATTTCTGATTCTTGTTTATTGTTTAACAATTTTTTTATTATTGTTGTTATTCTCCTTTTAATATATTTTTTTTATTTAGATGTCTATGTATTACTTTTAGCATGACAACCAATCCAGGTATATTATCTTAAATTGTTTGGCTAATAAAGGAATATCATAGTAAGCAAGTTCTAACAATAAACTCTATCGCACTTTCCATTGGTATGGGAAAAATTACCATTAGTATGTCTGGTATTTTAGTTTGAACTTGTTTGATGTGTTGAACCAGATCTTCAGAAACTGTTGAAGTTTTCACTTTCTTAAGAATACTGTGGGTTCTTTCAGGGATTTCAATATGGTCTGATATGCTGGAGTTGTTGGATGAACACACTCTTTTTCCTTTGTCATTATTCTATGTTCTGATTATTTCTTTTCTTGGTTGCATGTAATTTTCCTTGCTATTCTCATTAGTTTTGGGAAGCAGTATCTGTGTTATCATTATTACCACTGTGTTCCATGTTTTCTTGAAATTTGTTAGAAACCTTTTTATACCCTTTAATGTATTCTTCAAGCATTGTTGCCTTGCTATTGTTGTCAGCAACCAGAATATTCTCCATAACCTGTACTTCCCTTTCATCATCATTGTTATGATCTTCATTTTCATTTTCTTTAGTTTCCAGATTTACAGAACCCATCCTTGCATGGCCATGTTTATTGCTTTTGCAATATTTAGCAGTATATCCCTCTTTTTGACATATGAAACAACTTATTTTATCAGTTTATATATAAACAAAACATTTTGTAGAGTCATAGCAAATAGTCATATGTTCTGGAAGCTTTTCAATTTCATGCGGTTGAAGATATATTTGTCTTCTGAAGCT